TGATAACGACATCTTGCTACGAAATTTATCAGGGATCGGTTTTGCGCCTCGACTTTTGCAGTTCTTCGCAAACTACCTCAGCGACCGATGTTAATTTGTACGATTGAATGGACATGAGTCTGAGGTTTACTTCACCCGTTCTGGGGTAAGCCAGGGGAGCACGTTAGGTCCAACTCTGTTTCTCGCCATGTTGAATGATCTGCCGGATACTGTTAACTTTGCTGAGTGTCTATTATTCGCTGACGACCTCAAACTCTATCTGGGTATAGGTGATAGATCAGATATAGATGCTTTGCAGAGCGACATTGATGCCGTGGCCGCATGGAGCGAAAGTAATCGTCTGTCTTTCAATCCTGCAAAATGTAAAACCATTACATTCTCACGAAAGCGTAATATGTTACATTCTGACTATAAATTATTTGACACTCCTTTGGAACGAATCGACGAAATAAAGGATCTAGGAATTACTTTAGATAAAAAAATGGACTTCCACAAGCATGTGGCAAATATTTGTAAATCGGCGAGCCGACTCTTAGGGTTTATTCTGAGGACAGGTTCAGATTTTAGCAATTTTGCTGTGGCCAGAGCACTATATAACGCGTATGTGCGAAGTAAACTCGAATACGGGGCGGTTCTATGGGACCCACACGAGAAAAAATATAGCCTTATGGTGGAGAAGTTGCAGAGGAAGTTCGCTCGGTGGTTATTTAAAAAGTGCAATGGGTATTATCCGTATCTTTATCCCTCATCGTTCGTGTACGGTATGGTAGGGCTGAATACACTCGCTCTTAGGAGAAAAGTCATTCTCGTCATCCACTACCTCTCTGTGCTCTACGGGAAAGTGGATGCCCCTGGCGTGCTGGAGCGGGTGTGTTTGTTGGTACCCTCGCGCGTCCCACACGACGTCGGCGGGCTGGTGGTGCCGCGCCGGCGCCCGCGCCTTATACACCGGCCAGTCACGCGCACCGTACACGCCGCGCACGCACCCACTACGCGCGCGATCCGACTCATCGGGGACATGCTCGCTCAATGTAACAATATCGACTTATTCGCTGATGGTTTGGCAAATCTAGTGGCGGCTGCACTTGAGTTTCTTGAGAAAATAGCTTATTGATTATTTCTAAATTTGACAATTCATTTATTTATAACTAAAATGATATGACATTATTTATTAAATTAGTATATTTGACATTATCTGTTGAAATTAGATATGACATTATTAATTGTTTTATTGATTTGACATTTTTAACTATTTTATTATAAATTTAATTAACTTTTACAATGGGTGATTTGACTTTGTTTCTATTAAGTACTATTTGACATTGATATTTGACATTACCTAACTATTTAACTATTTGGCATTACTGTTTTTTTTTTTTTTTTTTGTTATAATTATTATTATTTGATTATCTCTTTTTCTTAATTTTATTGAATTTAATGAATACCTTCCATGATTGTTAATATTTTGTAAGTATGACTTGCCGGCGTGTTGGATTATTCTGTAAGCCTGCATGTCTAAATTGAATAAATAAATAAATAAATACCGCTTCCCAAGATCCCCAATCCAGTAGACATGAAGGACCTAAGACCAATCAGTATATTACCATGTATGTCAAAAATTTAGGAGAAGGCTGTGAGCATACAACTGATGGATTATCTTGAAGAGAATGATATTTTACCTGGGGTCCAGTCGGGGTTTAGGAAGGGTAGAACCATTGCTGCTCTTCTAGATGTTACGGATAATATACTTCAGGCTCAGGACCAGGGCATTTGCAAATTGTTCTTGTTCTCCTAGATTATTTCAGGGCCTTTGATTGTTTAACTGTAAATCTTCTTTTGTCTAAATTAGAGTATTATGAGGTTTTGGTTGGCAAGCCATACAGTGGTTTTATAGCTACCTAACTGCAAGATTAGGTTTTGTGACTATATGTTTCGTCCTCTATCGATATGCACTCACATATTACTCATTGCAAATATCAAATGTATACTGATGACACTCAGATATACATTTCATTTAAACCTGAAGATATTGATCAAACAATAGAGAAAATAAATTATGATCTAGCTAATATTTCAACTTGGACCTCAAATAAAAGTTTACTGTTAAATTCATCTAAAACAAAAAATATGATATTTAGTACTCAAAAACAATTGTATAAAATTAACCCATCAAAAGTATAACACAATGGAGAACCAATCGAAAAGGTCTATGAAGCATGCAACTTGGGCCTGGGGGCCAATCGCCTGACGGAAATGCTTTGGGAAACGCTAACGCTTACGATTTTATATTGTTATTTCTAGCCGCCTGAGGTTTTCGAATACCTCACGCTCATTTTTTTTAATATTGTTATTACCAATGCAAAAGAAAAAGAAAGAGCGCGAGGCATTTGAAAACCTCAGGCGGCTAGAAATAACAAAATAAAATCGTAAGCGTTAGCGTTTTTCAAAGCATTTCCGTTAGGCGATTGGCCCCCTGATTATGTTCACCTCTCCTGAACTCCGTGAAAAGAACAATGCCATATTCTGGCTCTCAAAACTTTTTATTATACATAAACTATTCGAAACGCTAAAGTTACATTTAATTTTTTTTTTGAAAATTTTCTAATGGAATTTATTTATTAATAAACAAATAGCTGACCGGAAAGCTAACAAAAATAAGTTGAGTCGCCAGTGGGACCGATTCTGGCGCTACGTTCTCTAAACCTAAACTTAAAATTAGAGAGCTAATTATAGTTTAGGTTTAGAGATTTGGTATTCTGAAATTGCGGTCTAACAAAATTAAGAACCCCGTTGACAGCCGTAAACGAGCAACTAAAGTGAATTCACAGATTATGTAGAATAATTTTATCGGTAATTATCGGTTTACATAAAACTGCTATAAATATTCTTTTTATGATGATTTTGACTTATTTCAGTATATTTTTCATTCTTTATGTTATATGCATTACATATACTAGTGTAAACTTAGCACATTTTCTGTTATAAAGTGTATTGTGAATACAATTTTGAAGATTGAATACCTACCTACTCTGTAGTCTTTATTGTTTGACCCTAATCTGTTCTTTGATTTCAAGCATATGTTTGTTGTTGTTTATCGAATTTATTTTTTCACAGTAATTTTTAAAGTACGATAATTTATAAGATATGGAACCCATTTCCAGAAAAAGGGCAAATAAAAGGCAACAGGCGTTGCTAGTAGAAACTTTACATAGCAACATGGAGTTATCGAGAGGTAAGAAAATATCTAATTACTACAGAGCTTATTCTGCATAGAATTTTTATTTCCATTGAGAACTTTAGAAAAGTTTTTGGCCCAAATGCGGTCGCTATACTATGTAATTATCTCCATGTGAAATTAACACGAGACGATATGTAATTCCTGAAATAAATGGGTTCAAACAAAAAAATATTTTCCCACCTAAAATATAAACACTGAATAAGAACTACAACCGCCTTATTAGAAAACGTAGACCAAAGTTAAACTTACGCTACTTTTGTTTGCTACAAGAAGACAGACAACAATATGTTTAATCCAAGACTCACCACATCCACAATTTTGGATTTGGAATAAGGCAGCAAGGATTCAAATAATACAGAGTGCAGATTTTATTACACTTGTTGTTATAAGCAACGTATTTTAATTATTTGTTTTCATATTTAAGTATTGTGTACTAATGCCAAGTTAAACATTTTTTTTTGTTTAAGGTAAAACTGCGTCACCGCTGCTGGCCAGTGTGGCCAACAAGTCGGGACCTGGTGTCGCCCATTTTAAGAGCTTGAGTAGCCTAAAGTAGCCGAATTTGAAATGAGATAGCCTAAAGTAGCCCAAACTAAAATAAAAGAGTTTTTTAACAATTTATTTATTTATATACACTCCAATTCTGCTTCATCTGCTGCGAGCAATAGCAAAGCATCTAGAATAACTTCGCCGTCGTCAACATTTACTGTGGTGCTAGTGCTGGCGCAACCTCTACTTGAATCGTACATTTTCTTTCCTGCATGTAAACTTATCATGTGATTACTTGGTTCAAAGTTGTTACAGCATATGCTTCTTACATTCATATGTGTACGAAATCTTAGAATAGCGATCAGCATGGGTAATTGCATTCTATTTCTTAATTTTGTCTTTATCGTACCCATCACACTGAAAATTCTTTTAACGACTGCATTACTTAAAGGTAATGAAAGACAGCGCAAGGAAAACTCCGCCAAATCTTTGAATATGGGATCGCCTCCAGCATTCTGCATTTCGATACCTGTACCCAGAAATTTACAATATCATTAGAAGCAGTGCCATTTATTTCCTCTATTCGCATCGTACTTAAAGTGCGAAATTGGTTTATTGTAGATTCCTTGTCAATATTAGGTTCACCTAACTGCCAGGGAAAATCATCAATGTTATGTTTGTTGCTGGTTGAGAGGCAGCGGTTGGGTGACACAAAACATCAATTTTGTCCACCACCGACACATTGACTAGTAACCTGTCAACTAATGCCTTCACCAAGCGCACAAGAAAGTTCGTGCATCGCTGTTTGACTTCTTTGGCTTTGTTGGCAGAAACAGATCTTTTTGCAAGTAATTCATTGAACTTTTCTCCAAAATCGATCGAGTCCTGTGGAAGCAATGAATTTTCAAATAGTGCTTCGGCTTTTTCTAAAGCTTGCCTAACAGCTGCTATATCCGCTTCATGAAGCATTGCCAATGAGGCGTTTTCGGACAGACTTTGACCTCTCAAAAATACTGGTTTAAATAGACGTCTTGCAATGGACAGAAGAAGAATCCGAAAGTCCTTGTATACTTTAGTTATATTTGCATTACTTGTTTGAAATATAACATTCACATTTTTGTTTCTTAGGTTTTCTTTCACGCACATCACTCATTAAATAAAACTAGTTTTTTACGGGTTAATGCACGAAACTTTATTTATTTATTGACGTTTCGTAGCCTTTACAGATTCTGACGACATAGCCTGTAAAGGCTACTAAACGTCAATAAATAAATAAAGTTTCGTGCATTAACCTGTAAAAAACTAGTTTTATTTTATATAACATTCACGTTTGTTACTTCTTTTAGTATAGGACATAGAAACAATAAATATACCCTTGCTGTGTAACATCTCTCTTCTGACGATTTACAATACAATACAATACAAAACTCTTTATTTTTACACCACAGAAAACATAAAACATGAAGTACATAATTAAAGAATACAGTGTAATAATGGGCGGTCTTATCGCTAAGAGCGATCTCTTCCAGACAACCTTAGGATGGAGAGGACAGGAAAGAAGCTGGAGAGACGGCGGTGTAATTACTACAAAACAATATAAAATCATTCTAACAAATATAATCAAAATTAAGTATATAAAACAATACATACATATAATTATATACCTACAAGAATACATACATAGTCATATACATAAATATATATGGTTTTTGGGAGGGTAGAATAAAACCGTTAACACCAGTTTTTGACAAGCTCTTGAATTATTTTATTTTAAAAATTAAATACATATTATTTCTAGTCAATTTAGTGAATAATAGTATGTGCTAATAGTGAATAATACCTGCAGCTGTTTTCTCCTCTCTAATACGGCTGGTAACTGAACTACACTGCACGGAATTCCACACATCACAAACACACTGTCAATATGGATACTATTAAGAGCACAATTGAATCACTGGCACAAACTTTCTCTGAACGTATGTCTGCGTTCGAAAATGAACTCAAGAAGACAAATGCACCGCAGGAGCCATCACTGCTGAATTTGTCAGCCGAATTCGAAGTCTTTCGCAGCTTTGTTGTTACAACTTTCAAGCACCTTGAGATGCAAGTAACATTGCTTTCAATGGAGTGTGACAGCATCGAGATGAGGAGTCGTCGTGGCATGCTGCTGCTTCATGGTGTCCCGGAAAGCAAAGAGGAAGACAGCACGGAGACTTTTCTGAGGGTGGCATCTGAGCATTTGGCGGCACCGCAATTTTACGATTTAGTACGAGCCATCCGTCTTGGTCGAGTTCAACAGTACAAGCCACGACCACTTCTCGTAAAGCTTCGATCTGAGGCAATCCGGGACAATTTATGGTTAGCGAAGAAGAAGCTGAAGGGTTCTGGCATCACTATGTCGGAATTCCTAACAAAACTGCGACACAAAATTTTCATGGCTGCGCGGGAACGACTCGGTGTCTCCAGATGCTGGACCAACGCTGGGCGAATCATCGCTTTGGATGCTGCTGGTAAGCGCCATCACATTGTATCCATGGTTGATGTTGAAAAGTTAGGTCGGCCCAAAGCTACTTCCATTGCCATTGCAAGTGATGCCCAAGCTCCTGCCTCGAGTGTTGTTGCAGCTTCAAATGCGAGTGATGCTGTGGCTCCAGTAGCTGCAGCCACAGTCTCTAGAGGCAAGCGTGCTGTTTCTGCAAGGAGAAATAAGTAATTATTTTGATGTCTCTTTTATTATGTGTTAAGTAGATACTATATCTGTTTGTATTCACCGGAAGGGTCTAAGCAGCATGAAAAGATTTTACCGTTTTTTCCTTTTTTTTTTACTTTTGATACATGTAGTCTTTTGTTCATAATAACCAATTTGACCTATTAGTGACTAAATAAAAAATATTCGTACATAAATAATACATTTCATAAGGATAATAGAAAATATCAACTGATAATCCATGCAGTTCGTCTTTCTTGTAGCTTGAACTTTTTTGGTGTATTTGAATATAGCTATAGAATACTTACTTTTCTTCATATTTTTCAATTTTTGTAAATTTGTTGCGTACCATTCTTCTCAACGATTCACTTCATTACAATATTAATATTTTAATTATTTATGTCGGCAGGTAAAAGCCTGTTTTATTTTGTTAAATGTCTCATGTGTCAATGTCATGTCATTGTTTTTAACTGTTTGCTAATTTAACGTTTGTCACGTACGAGTACTGTAACAGGTCCACAGACTTGTACGCGTCGCCGTGACAAGTCACTGTTATTTGTACTTTATTGTGTAATGTGTCTTTCTTGTTTCTTGTGTATGTAGTAATTAATAAATTTTGTTAATTTCTTTCAGTCAACCTGTAGGTATTTATATATGTAGTATAGTAAAACTTATATTTTGTTAGTATTACTTTAGCTTGTAGATTATAGTTAATTATTTATTTATTTTTATTGTATTTTGATGGATATACCTATAGATAACGATTTATTCATGTCATGTTCTTCCTCTTCTGCTTCCAACTCCAGCTTCCAGAGCTTAGATAGTTCTCTGAACGAGCTTTTGGATGCCGCTTTTTCGGATGTTCCAAAAAATTTTAACGTTATCCATATCAATGCACAGAGTATACCGGCACACTTTCTGGACATGCTAGCTTCTTTTGATAACCAAAATATTCATGCAATCTTAGTTTCCGAAACTTTTCTTAATCCCTGCCTTTCATCTTCTACATATTCCTTACCTGGATTCCAACTGATTCGGAATGATCGTGTAAGTTCCTCACATGGAGGGGTGGCCATTTATCTTCGTTCTCATATCTCTTTTACTATCCTTAGTCGATCTCTACAGCCGCCACCCCCGAACAGTGCCGAGCATCTCTTACTTGAAATATCTTTGTCTCATAGTAAAATCCTTCTGGGTGTTTTCTAGAGCCCTTCTCTGCGAGTCGACTATTTTGAGTCATTCGAACAGCTTCTTGAAAATTTTGCCCCCTCTTATTCCCATACTATATTATGGGAGATTTCAACACATGTCTCATAAAAGACGATTATCGATCAAAAAAATTACTGTCGGTGATTAATTCCTCCAATTTACATATTCTTCCATCTAGGGAAACTCACCATTTTCCTAACTGTACTCCTTCCCTGCTTGATCTGATAATCGTCTCTTCCCCTACCTTCGCCGCTAAACATGGGCAATATTCTGCGGACGCTTTTTCTTATCATGACTTGGTGTACCTATCGTCCGGATTCGTCCTCCAAAAGTGAGGCCCACCGTGCAGCTTCAGCGTAATTTTGCTCGGATTAATCACGAACACCTGATGGAGGATGCTGCCAACTTGGACTGGTCTGCAGTTTTTGCATCTGAATCTGTGGATAGGCAAATTGAACTTTTTAACTGTTTACTTACCGAGCTGTATGATATGCATGCACCTATTCGCCCTGTTAAAATAAAACATCTGCCGGCTCCTTGGTTGAATGATGAAATTCGGGAACTGATGGCAAGGAAAAATGCTGCTAAGGCTAAGTTCAGAGTCAATCCTTCGAAGCGAAATGAGATAAAATATAATTTGGTGAGAAATCGCTGCAACACTGTGATTAGGGACGCCCAAAGACGCCATATTCATAAATCTATTGAAAATGAAGATCCCCAAAAGTCTGGAAATTTCTAAAATCACGCGGAGTTGGCAAATCTCGTAGCAGTATTCCTAATAATAATCTAGATATTAATCAGCTTAATAGTTACTTTTCCACTTCTGTGCCTTTGGACGGCTACCGTAAGGCTGCTACCTTACAACGTCTTTCAACTTTGCCAACTCAAAATTCTCCTTTTTTTTTACATCAATTTGCTGACTGTGATATTAAGAGAACCATACAAATGATTCACTCCAGTGCAGTAGGTAGTGACTCCATTAGCCGGAAAATGATCCTTCCCATCCTTGACATCCTGACTCCTGTAATTACTCACATCCTGAATACCTCAATTTCAACCGGTGTTTTTCCTGCATCCTGGAAAGATGCATATCTTATTCCAATCCCAAAAAAACCGAATCCTGCCTCTTTTTCAGAATATCGTCCTATTTCCATTCTTCCCTTTCTCTCCAAAGTTCTGGAAAAACTCGTTCATCAACAACTCGCAGCTTTTCTTAACAAAAACCAGCTCTTAAATCCATTTCAATCTGGTTTTCGTACGGGCCATAGCACGACTACAGCACTGGTTAAGATTTCAGATGACATCCGACGTGGTATGGAGAAACGACAACTTACTTTGTTGACGTTGCTCGACTTCAGTAACGCCTTCAATTCAGTTGACTTTGACATACTTATTGCCATCCTGCGTTATCTTAATATATCTCCAGCGGCAGTTGATTAGTTTCAAAGTTACCTGCAAGGACGCCGGCAGCGTATACGCATTGAAGATAACTTCTCTACGTGGTGCGCCACCAATTCCTCAGGGTGGCGTCTTATCTCCTCTTCTCTTCTCAATTTTTATAAATTCTATCACACAGTCACTTTTCAGTTCCTATCACCTCTACGCCGATGACCTCCAGATTTACACACAGGCACCACTATCTGACCTTTCGGGTGCAATAGCTGCTACCAATTCTGATCTCGCCCTAATTAGTAGTTGGAGTAAGTCTTTCGGTCTCACTGTGAACCCCACTAAAACACAAACAATAATAATTGGCAGCTCTTACTTCGTTTCCAGGATTGATTTTGAACATCTATCTCCTATTACTTTTGATGGAACTATTATTCCTTGGTCGAGCACTGTCAAAAACCTAGGTATTGTCTTTGATCAGTATTTTTCTTGGAAACCTCAGGTGGAAGCGGTCAGAAAGAAAATTTTTGCTGCATACAACTCGCTCAACCGATTACGTAACTTTTTGCCAACTACCACCAAAATTACTCTGACGCAGACTCTTTTGCTTTCTATCCTTGACTACGCTGATGCCTGTTACACAGATCTTTCTGAAGAACTCTTAAATAAGCTGGAGCGTCTGCAGAACTTATGTACCCGATTTATTTTCAACCTTCGTAAATATGACCACGTCTCACAATTCCGTTCTAAACTTAACTGGCTCCCTATTCGCCGGCGCAGGGACTTACACACTCTTACACTTCTTTACTCCGTACTTTTCTTACCCACTTCTCCTCATAACTTAAAAGAATGCTTCTCGTTTCTCACTTCTACTTCACAGCGCACATTGCGATCTTCTTCTAACCTATCTCTTGAAATTCCAATTCATTCTACTGATTTCTTTTCCTATTCTTTCTCTGTGCATTCAGTAAGATTATGGAACTCTTTGCCAGAAACCATTCGAAGGGCTCGCACTCTGAATTCGTTTAGGGATCAAGTTCGGAGTTATTTCCTATCCCAACAATTATGTTAAATTTTTACTTCATCCTCTCTTTCCTTCTTTAGATATATCTGTTTTTCCTGTCATTGATATCATTATGTTTTTTCTATAACACCCCCCCTTATCTCCTTCATATTTATTTATCTTTCTTTTATGGGTTGCCTGGAAGAGATTGCTGCCTAGCAATAAGGCCGCCTATATTGTGTACGTTCTATTTATCATGTTTTAATTTACTTGTGTGTTTTTCTATGGTGTATAACAATAAAGAATATTATTATTATTATTATTATACATACATATATATAAATATATACACAAATACATACATACCTATGTCTAATTCATTCAGCTTAGATCAACAAAAATGGAAGGGTTACAAGGACATATAGTGAGATCTAACAAGGTTTTTGAAAATGTGGAGTGATTTTGCACGTCTTATGGAAACTGGAAGAGCATTCCATAGACGAACGGCTTGTACTGCGAAAGAACGGCCATAAAAAGTTGTAGAGTGAACAGGAGTAATGAGAGCGAGATTTTCTGATGACCTAAGGGACAATGTGTTCGAAGTGTGAAGGAAATTAAAACATTCCTTAAGATAGCGTGGGGACAAAGGATTGAACAGTATGTTATACAGAAGAGTAAGGATGTGCGTATTCCGGCGAAGGCGAATAGGTAGCCACTTGAGCTGTAAACGAAATTGAGATACATGATCATATTTGCGCAGGCCAAATATGAATCGAATACAGAAGTTCTGAAGCCGCTCAAGTTTATCAAGCTGGTCCTCCGTGAGATCTAGATAGCAGACGTCAGCATAATCGAGAATAGGAAGCAACAGAGTCTGTGCTAGGGAAATTTTGGTGGTAGTGGGTAGAAAATTGCGTAGTCTCCTCAGCGAAGCTGCAGAAGCAAACAGTTTAGGGCTGAGCACTTGCATCTGGGGACACCAACTCATACAATTGTCAATGGTTAACCCTAAGTTTTTTACTGAGATGCTGAATGGAATGATGGTGCCAGCGAGATGAATTTTGGGGAGTGATTGCCAGTCAACTTTGGCGATCATCCTGGAGCTTCCAACAATGATACTGTTTGATTTAGCCGGATTTACCTCCAGCCCAAAAGATTTACTCCACTCCAATATTTTATCCAAATCACTGTTTGTGGCTAGCACTGCATCACCAAGTTGATCAATGGTCGCTTGTTGATAAATTTGAAGGTCATCTGCGTATAGGTGGTAGGAAGAAGTAATATTATTAGAGATTGAATTAATCAATACAGCGAAGAGAAGAGGAGATATGACGCCGCCTTGAGGAACGCCAGCAGACGTGTCACACCATGAAGAAAACGAGTCCTCAAGGCGGACACGCTGCCTGCGTCCATACAAATAACTGTGAAACCACTCAATCGCCGATGGAGATACGTTAAGTGAGCGTAGCAATCCCAAAAGAATATCAAAGTTGACAGTGTTAAATGCATTGCTAAAGTCCAACAATGTTAATACCGTAAGGAAACCGCGGTCCATCCCAAGACGTATGTCATCTGTGACTTTAAGTAAAGTAGTTGTAGTGCTGTGTCCCGGACGGAAACTGGATTGGAGAGGGTTAAAGAGATCGTGGCGAGAAAGAAAAATATTGAACTGATTAAGAACAAGGCGCTCAAGTACCTTTCAGCGACGGATTGCGGGCTACATTTCTTTGGCAAAGGAATAATTTGTGCTTGCTTCCAAGCTAAAGGAAAAACAGTATTAGAAATAGAGCTATAAAAAAGGAATGTTAGAACGGGGAGAATGATATCTAAGATTGGTATTAACATGTTGCGACTTATGCTGTCACTCCCCACTGCATTGGATGAGATAGAAAGCACGCTCTTCTTAACGTCACATTCAGAGAATTGAGCAAAAACAAAAGGAGAGTAGTCTGGAACTGGTAAGGAAGAAAGATAATTTAAAGTATTAGTTTTATCTGAATCACTAAGACCAGAAGAAGATGAGAAATGAAGGTTTAAGGAGTTGACGTCAAAGCTACTGGGAACGGATTCTTTTCGAGGCTTACCAATTCCAAGTGACTTGAGAAAATTCCAGACTTTTGCTGGATCTTTATTATCGACTGAGACATGGATATGGCGACGTAAGGCATCCCTACATACCAAATTGCAGTGGTTACGGGCTCTGGCATAGTGAGCTTTGTTTGAGTCGGTCGGACGGCGTTTATATTTACTTTTGGCGACATCTTTTTTATGCATTAGCATTTTGATTTCCTTTGTGAGCCAGGGCGCAGGTTGGTGTTTTAGTTTAATAGATCGAAAAGGAGCATGCTTATCATAAAGTTCCGTGATAATAAGATTAAAATTTTCAACCTGATCGTCCACCGTGACCGAGTTAGTTACCGGTGACCAGTCAGTGTTACGAGCGTCGAAGAGTAACGCTTCCCCATCCATACCACCAAAATTCCTCTGAAGTATAACTTTGGGTTTAATTTTAGGAGGACGAATTTTATAGGACAAGAAAATCAAGTCGTGGTAAGAAAAGGCATCTGCCGAACATTGACCGTGCTTCATCACACGATGAGGAGAAGATACAATTATAAGGTCAAGAAGTGAGGGAGTCGTGTTTGGAAAGTGATGGGTGGCGTTAAGGGGAAGAATATGTAAATTACAAGAGTTTATAATGGATTGAAGAGAAGCTGTACGAGAATCATTTTTCAAAAGACATGTATTAAAATCGCCCATAATCAAAGAATGGCTGTAAGATGGAACCAAATCTGCCAAGAGTTGCTCAAAGGAACTGAAGAAGTTGACGTTTAAAGAGGGGCTGTAATAGACTCCGAGAAGGACTTTGGTGTGCGATAGTATAACCTCGACAAATAAATGTTCACCGGCATCAATTGGAGGGGGCTGAGCAGAGGTGCTAATTATAGTATAAGGAATTTGCGAACGTAAATAAATAGCAACTCCACCACCTCGGGAGCCAGTGCGATCATTGCGTAAAAGATTAAAACCAGGCAAAGAATACGCAGAAGAGGGTAAAGAAGGTTTAAGCCAGGATTCGGAGACTAAAACACCATGAAGATTTTTGTGGTCTAGAGACGCCAGCATATCAGTGTGATGAGCCGGAATACTCTGGGCGTTAATGTGAACAATGTTAAAATTTTTAGGAACATCAGAAAATTCGCTATCAATGCAGTCGGGAAGAGAAGGAATACTAAAAAAACTAGCGTCAGTGCAGCCGCTAGAAGGAGACAAAGATTGGAAGGAATTATCATCATTATCGACGTCAGAACCAGACATAAAAATATATAACTATTAATATATAATAAAGTATAGTAAGAATATAATAAATACTTATATAGTGGGCAACGCAAAAAATACCCACAAAAATTTAAATAATTATTATGCTCCACCCGCCGGTTGAGTGGAGTACAGAATACGCTAACACAAAAAAAAAAACAATAATTAAGATACAACTGAGTAAGTGCAATAAAATAATATTAAACAGTGAATGAACAACATCTAAAGAAAAAATAAATTCAAAAACTACAATAATTAAACGATATTAATCTGTGGATCCAATAAATGCTGTCACTATGTACCGCCACAAATTATAGAACAGGTCACCAAGGCCATTAACATTAGGGTGAAAAAAAAAAAAACAATTATGTCACTGTCAGACAGCCTGTCATCGATTTGTTTACAATTCCTTGGAGAATAATGAATTAAATATTTTCTTACCTTCATTGAATTTACGAAGACACGGGAAAACAAATGCATTTACGTTAAAGTAACACGGTACAAACAAAAGAGGAATCCACAGAACGAAGGGGCGAATATAGCATGAAAAGAACACTGGCACGAAGCGAAAAACTTAACACTAAACAAATTGAGAAGTGATTTTAAAGTTAAATTAAACCATAAAGCTACTTTTTGCTCGCTGTATTAGCCGCACGTTTGCCCCTGGTGGGTACAGGTTTCGGTGACACGGCCCTCCCCGTAGCTGGACCTGGGATTTTGTTCAGATCGTCAACTGGTTTCGACGATACAGGGCTCATCGCTACTGGTGCAGGGATTTTGTTAAGGTCAGCAAGGGAACTGATACGATGACGTTTTCCGTCACTACCAACAACGAAGACGAATCCCATCCGCGTGAAGCATTTGCTGATTCCAAATTTCTTTCTGGCAGCTATAAAGGCGTCGTGCCTGTTTTTTGTCAAAAATTCCGATATGGTTAGACCTGTACCCTTTAATTTTGATTTGGAGTACCACATTTTATTTCGGATATCAAGATCTCGCAACTTCACCATCAAAGGACGTGGTCGGTCACCCTCAGCAGAACGACCCATTCGGTGGCAGCGATTGATGTCTGTAATGGTGAATGCAGACATCTTTAACTTAGTAGTGACAGCTTCGACAACAACAGCAGCGGCATCCTCCCAAGCAGATTCTGGCAGTCCATGAAAAAGAAGTATTTTTCTCCGGCTGTGCATCTCCATGCTATCAACTTGGCGAACAAGCAGGTCGAATTGTTCTTGCAGACTACGAATTGACGACAAAACAAATGTTCTAAATGCTGTAAAATCCACAGTGAGGCTAGCAACAGTGGATGATGGAGTAGCTGCCTTAAGCTCATTCTCATAGATGTTCATGCGCTCAGTGAACATACTTTGAAGCTGCGACAAGGTATCTTGAATTGCGTCCATTTTGTTGATCAGTGAAGTGCAGTGATAAAAATTATGTTGTTGTTCAGTAACAGAGTAGATAACACTCTCCGGCAGGTATTTTGCAGTCACTATTAATTTAACATAAATAGTATTGATATAAAATATTAAATTAAATTATTTTATACACTTTTAAAATTGATAACTTTTTAATGCAACCGCTTTTTACACCTACCCGCCACGAAAAAACTTTATCCGATTTAATCATATTATAATGGGTTTTTAGCTCAAGCCACTGATTGATGTTTGTATTAACAGCTGCATAAAATGCCAACCATCTAGTTGCAGACAATTGAGTTAGTTTCAAGGGCTTTTTGCCATCATTAATAGTTTCAAATAAGTTCTGATAGACTTTCATTCGCAAAGGACTGTGAGCAAACCAATTTCGGGTTTCCCTAAGTAAATATTCCAGGCAAGATGGTAATTCAGTGCACGCTTTGGATGCACACAAACTAAGGGAGTGGCACACGCACTTCAACAACTGCAAATGGGGTAGGTCTGCTTTTAAAAGAGTGAAAAGGGCCACAAAGATTACTAGCTCCATCTGTTCCTATGGCGATGAGATTCTGAATATTTAAGCCCATATCAGATAAAAATCTCTTAAAGGATGTATACAGGTCATCAGCTGTTGCTTGGAACACTTCTTGAAAGCTTAAAAAATCTACAACAATTTTTTCTAGTTTTTTATTGTAGTGTCGGATGCAATACGCCATGTACTGTTGCAACATCAGTGGATTCATCCAGTATTATAGAATAACTTTGCCCACCAATTTCTTCTAACAGTTCTTTAAGCATGGCTGGTTCAACGACATTCTTTATAACGGCAGAGCACTTTGTTCTGTGTAATTTTATATTTTCAAGAGGACTACCTATACCACAGGTTTTTAAAACTTCTGTCAAATGGTCTATGCTACGGATGGAGCTATGAGCAGCGATATATGTAGAAATTTTTATGTCCATTATTTTTTCTTTTGTTGAAGTGTCTTTAACTGAAGAGTAGCCAAATGATGCAAGTTTGGGTTGTGTTTTTGCAAATCTTAATTCCTTGTCTTTATGTGTTTGACTTTTCATGTGCTTTTTTTTCTAAATCAGTTTTGTGTGCACGGAGTGGTGAAACACATAATTTACAATATGCCTCACCTTTTCCACTATCTGTCAGTTCCACGGGTGCTCGAGTTAGCTAATCTGTAAAATAAAAGTGTGGGTTAGTTGAAGATTATCAATATTATCATATTAATAAACCCTTCTCCTAGAGAGAGGTATCGTCCGCGTTCACCGCAAGAACATTTTTCCTGTAGAATAGTATTATATTATCTGGTCCCGTAGGAACTTTATAGCTTTAAAATGAGTTATTTAATCAATTAATCATTAATGGAGCAAAAAACATCCCTCCGTGGCCTCCATCCATTCATCCTCACAAACTTTCACATATAAACAATGCATTTAAATAATATTTAAAATAGTCAGAAATAAAGATAAAACATCTCGTAAGAATGTTAGTACTTACTTGTAAATGCTGGAATTTTTTCCCATTCGTCACGATAATGCTTCACGTATTTTCCGTGCTTTCCCATTTTTTGTCACAACAACAATACAATGTCTTTAAAATAAGACAACGAACGAAAAATGAACTTACTGAACACGCACAGGATAAGTGATTAAAATTTACTGAAGTTTTCCCAAACTACTTAGTCGTTTAGTATAATACGTATAATTACAATGGTTATCAACAACCAAGCGAAAACTCTATCTTGGTTGCATCATAAATTTGGTTACGTTATAGCTAGGACAAATACAGGGTATTCCCCGACACCAACGAAGAGGGCGGAGGGTGTTGCCATCTTTTTTGTCTTGTTATTCCTACACTTTTTGCTATTGCGTGGGTATATATTTTTTTTCTTTTGCTTTGCTCATTTGTGTTGATTCGATCATTCAACTAAAATAACTTTTCATCTTTTTCGAGTAGCCTAAAATGCTAAAAATTCGTTCGTTGGCATCACGGCTGCTGATAGCAAAGTTTTAGGAAAATATCACAGAACAATAAAACTTGCTTGGTGTAGAAGAACAGTTAAAGGATGGCAACATGTATGTCCTCATTTTGAATAATTTTGGATAATCTTGGATCTGTCCAAATAATAAGTTTTTTTTTTGTTTTAGATGTGGTCAATGTGGTGCCTCAAAGTAAAAACAAAAGCACGTAAAATAAGGGATCACTTTACTGCCACAGGTCCAGCTGCTGAAACTCTCTCTACATTAGAAGATAAGATAATTGAAGTTGTAGGCTCTGCCACCATTTATGATTTTACGTCCCAGGAGTTTCCACAGCTGGTTTGTAAAAACTTTTAAGATTCATAATATACCTGCCTTAAATAAAATTCCATACTGAATGTATCTTTTCTTATATTTTTTGTTGATATTTCAGGATACTCAAACTGCTGAACCAAGTTCTACACCTCAACCACAACTAGATGTTGATACATCTCAGGTAGAATATGAACATATCACTCGGTTAAAAAATATGTCTTAAATCTTATACATTAATGATTATGTACAGTTGTGCACCTTTATTTACTTAAGATGTCCTGACATACCTTTTACTATTTATTTTTAAGTACAATTTATTTGAACAGAAAAGACCACCCATCACTGTTGCTCAAAGGAGGCCACGCAGAAGAGTACCACGGGGCAAGAATATCAGAGCATCTGAAACATTAATAAAAGCTATGGAGAATAATAATACCTCATTTAGGCAGGGTATGCTCACTGCTGCCGAAACTTTAGCATCAGCTATTCGAGATGCCGCTAATATTCTGGCTGACCAGATTTGGCAAAGTACTTTGCAAAGGACAATGCCCACGCCCCGTACCAAATTGCGTCATAGATATATTTACACCAAACAAATAATTTTATTTATGTGTATTACTGACTGTACTGACTTTTAACCGATTTTTTAACCACATTTAAAAAAATCATATAAATGATGCTAAATTATTAGCAATTCAGTTCTTCCGCAAAAAATTACGTATCCAAATGTCAAAAGTTCATTTCCGAAATCTTGCACGTTCCGATAACAGTTGTCTGTTATTTCCGAGGTGTAACAATGAACATAAAAATCTTTGTTCGCCTTATAAGCTTTAGCCATTGTATAAGTAAATAAGATTTTAAAGTATGAAATAAAATATGTAATTCCTTTACAGCATTTTATTTTATCTCACCATTTCATAAAGTAAACATTGCGTATTTTCGAAAATACATTTCAAAATATACATTCATGGCGATTCGGAACGCTTAATTACGAAAGTGCCAGTGTCAATGTCAATTTCGTATTTGTTGTAATGATACACCAATAACAGACAGGTTTGATACTGCTCAAATCTTAGAAATAATACAACAAACTATGTTTCAAACGATTTTGAAGTGATTATATTTTACACAATAATTACAATAGAAGAAGGGCGCAGTTCACAAATATAAATGTTAATAACAGCAATGTGACTGAGCTTCCACAGCTGGACTACCATGATCTTATATTAGTAGCTTGTGGGACTTACCAATTGAGTCAGGGAAAATATTATATTATTAGGTGTATTATGGAGAGCACATACGTTTTCACGGACGATATGTAATCGAAGTATGCAGGGAAGCATCAATAAATGATTTAAGAGCACAGTTGTCTCTCTCTCAAATATCTTGCCTCTTAAGAGAAATAATACAAAGTCGTCATGTGACCAGAAAGACATACTTTGTGTATATTTTAGTTGATAATGATAAAAATGGGAGTGGAAACGCCATACGTAGAAATGCTTCGTTTCTTAGATGTGTTAAAACAAATGCGCCCTATAACTAGTAATATAGAAGCTGAATTTTATCAAACAAGTGGTGAAGAGAACCAATTACAAGAGACTGGAAGCGAATCGTCAAATTCCAGTTCCAACTCTGCCAGTCGCAAAGACCAGAGTATGACACTGTTTCAGAAGTCATTAATTAACAGTATGGAGAAATCTTCACAAGATGATAGTGATTCAGATAAACAGTTTTTGGTGTCGTTACTCCCACAGATGAAAAAATGTCTGAAGCACAAAATTTTGACTTCCGTTTAGATATTATAAATTTGGTAAAAAAATATAGATTTGCTACAACAAGTACAGTGCAACAATACCTGTCCGATCAAAGTAATTACGAACAAGGTCGTATATCATTGCCGCAGACTTCTCAGTTTGAACATACCGGTTATTATACAACTGACTACTATACGGACTCACCACAATCAGCGACCTCGCAGGTTTCAACTGAAGAAGATATTGAAGAAGCATTAATGCAGAGTTAATCCGTCACGTTTATTTAAAATTGGTTGATTTTGGATTTTTGTATCATTTTAATATACATGTCAATAATATTAAAATATTAATGTCAACAACGAAAGCAGTTATTATACCTACAACTTTCCTTTTTATATATATATATATATATACACTCAGCGGCACGGAATCTTGGCCAAGCGCTTATCTCGCGATAGCAAAAGTTTTAAGTGTTTCTGACGAATGTTTGTTGTGCAGGTATGTCAAAAAATGTTTACTTTTAGTTCAAGAGGGTAATCCATTATGTTTAAGTGCACCACGACGAAACTTTTATTTTACAGTTGAATCGGGTCATTTGAGCGACTAAGTTCACGTTTTAAATTTGTGTGTTGTGAAAAGTTTACTGTTCGGTTTTTGAATTATTGTGATTTTATGCTTTTAATTCAATAAGTAAAGGTGCTTTAAAAGCAATAAAAATGCCTCTAACACCGGCACAGGTTTCACAAGCCATTGCGTTAATTAACCAAGGGCTGACACAGCGTGAAGTTGCTATTGCTCTTAACGTACCACGGTCATCAATGCAGTATGCCCTTAAAAGATACCAGGAGACAGGCCAGCACACCCGCAGGCCAGGCAGTGGAGGCGTAAGGTGCACATCGGCCCGAGACGACCGCTTTATTGTCCTGGAGATTTTGAGAAACCGCTACCTGACCGCTGTTGAGATACGCCAGCGGCTTCAAATTGTGAGAGGCGTTAATTGTTAGTGAGCGTACGGTGAGAAGACGAATGGAGGAAGTCAATTTAAAAGCTTGTAGACCAGCACGAGGTCCAGAACTTCTCAGACAGCACCGAGTAGCTCGACTTCACTTCGCACGAGAACACGTTAACTGGACCCACGAGCAATGGGCTAGAGTACTGGGGGCTTAGACAAAGTTACATCGTTTCGTAGCGAAACTATATCTAAATTCGTCATCGTTTCTGAGATAACGAAAACAATTTCCTAGCCAAGTCCAGAACTTCTCAGACAGCACCGAGTAGCTCGACTTCACTTCGCACGAGAACACGTTAACTGGACCCACGAGCAATGGGCTAGAGTACTGGGGGCTTAGACAAAGTTACATCGTTTCGTAGCGAAACTATATCTAAATTCGTCATCGTTTCTGAGATAACGAAAACAATTTCCTAGCCAAGGTAACACTCTTGTCGTTATCGTCGTGGCGAATTGTTTTTTCGCTAAGAAAACGAAAATTGTCTATGGTATCGAAAATTTCTGCTGCCAGTTAGTCAAGAAGAGCCCGCGAATCGGAAACGTATTTAATTATGTTGCGATGTGACTGTAAGGTTTATTTACAAACGAGTCTCTGTAATGCATCAGCATCGTGTTAGATTAAGATCACCATTAATGTTGTGTATCGTTTCTCAGAGCTCATGTTGCTTAGCGTGTTTATACAAAAGTAATACGATAAAATAGCGTCCTGTGTGTGGGACATTGCTTTGTTTTGTACATGTTTTAATTGTATTTCGAATAAAAGATTAGAACCCAGAGGCTCAGGCAGTCCAGTTAATGAACAAGAGAGCAAGTTAACTAACGTGTATTATATTAGAAGTGTGAATTTGTGTTTCAGTATAGAAAACAACAGTAAGTAAATAGTGTTATTAATTACTTAAAAATGGTCCTTGAAACATAATGGAGTGGAGAATAAACGACAGTGGACTAATCTGTATGTTCATTTTTAGTAATCATCATGGAATCAAGAGTGCGAGCAAGTCCCGAACAATTGTCAACGCTGCTAGAGTTTATGGAAAGGTAGGTAAATCCAAGTTTTAGACATTATTCGAGATTTTAATCATACAAATATTTGGTACCAGCTTCGGTCCATGCATACCTAAACACTCATAATGAAGCTTTGTTTGTTTATGTTACAGTCATGGTGACCTGGCTAGGCCTCTTGCTGGAGCACAAGGTCGAGTAAGATCAGACCGACTATGGGCTGATCTTACTAATATTTTAAATGCTGTTGGTGGTGGTGTCAATAAGACAACAGACAAGTGGAAAAAAGTAAGTACTTATTGAATAGTTTTGGAATGACTGGTTTGATGGAACCCTATACTCATTTATATGGTTGGTTACTTACTAAGACTGATCTATATTAATTTATTTAAATTATTCAATAAAGGTGTGGGCGGATTGGAAATCCAAGACCAAGAAGAAAGGGCTGATAATTAGGAGTCATGCAAGAGGGACCGGTGGTGGGCCAGCAAGCCAGCAAATCTTGTCGGCTCTTGATGAAAGGGTGCTGGCCATTATGGGCCCTTTAGCAGTGGAAGGACAAGCCTCTGTACAAGAGCTTGGATTTAATGTAAGTATTTTATATTCAAGTTTCTACTTACAATGGTCAATAAGACATATTAAATAAATAAATTAGATTACTAATAAAAACAAAAGGTACCTACTTAGTTATAATGAAGAAACAGACCCATTTTTATATTTTGATAGGTAAATCAATTGAAATTGGTTAGTCATAAAGTACATACATGTGTATTCAAGCATAAATATTAAAAAGCGGTTATCTCCCTATTGCTTCCATAGGGAAGGCCTGTGCCCTTGCAGTGGGGACATTAATAGGCTGCTGATGATGATATTTGTAATAATTACTTATTCTGTAGTATTAAACCTATTATTATGTACCAATTTTTTTCAGAAGTCCCAATCAGCTGCACCCACACAACAACCCTCGCGCGTCGTTCGGCAGATTCGCTATAGGACAGAAACTTGATAAGGCAGAAGCTGGATTGGGCAGAATCGTGTTTTGGCAGAGTACAGTCAGGATGTTAATAATATTATTATGATGTAAACTCTTTGGTTTATCTTATCATTAATAATGGCCACTTATGGTTTATGGTGACATGACAAATTATATATTTTACAATGACATTGTTATAGTCAAGTCAGTATTTTTTCATTGTATTATCTGAGATATAATTGAATTTAATTTATTATGATGGATGATGCGGGCCCACGTACAGAAAGTGAAAATTTGAAAATTATTCGCAGTAAACGAGGTAAGCCAGTGCTTCTACACGACGGTTTTCGCTATAATTTCGTAATGAAAAACAAATCTGGTACAAGTAATTGGAGATGCTACAATAAAACGGAATGTAATACATC